CCACATCTTCTTGATCCATTCATCTACTGAGGGGCATCTGGGTTGGTTCCATGTCTTAGCTATGGTAAATAATGCTGCAATAAACATAGTTGTGCTGGTAGCTTTAGTGTGGCCTTGTTTGTGATCATTTGGGTAAATGCCCAAAAGTGGGATTGCTGGGTCATTGGGGAGCTCTATGTGGAGTCTTTTGAGGAACCTCCATACTGCTTTCCAAAGTGGTTGAACAAGTTTACATTCCCACCAACAATGAAGTAAGGTTCCTTTCTGTCCACATCCCCTCCAGCATCTGTTGTTGTTAGAGTTCTTGATTTTTGCTGTTCTAACTGGAGTGAGGTGATATCTCAATGTTGTTTTGATTTGCATTTCTTTTATGGCTAGGGATGTTGAACATTTCTTCATGTGTCTATTGGCCATCCTTCTTTCTTCTTCAGAGAAGCTTCTCTTTAAGTCTTTCGCCCACTTACTTATTGGGCAGTTGTTTCTTTGAGGATTTGTTGTTGGGTGGTTTAATTTTTTGAGTTCCAAGTATATTTTAGATATGAGACCCTTGTCCGTTGTATGGCTAGTAAAGATCTTCTCCCAGTCCGTGGGCTTTCTATTGATCTTGCTAGCTATGTCATTTGCCCTGAAGAAGCTCTGCAACCTTATACAATCCCATTTGTCCAGCCTTTCTTTGATTTGTTGTGTTTCCGGGTCTTTATTCAGAAAATTTCGGCCTGTGCCAAGGAGACCCAGGGTTTCTCCTATTCCATCCTGTAATGTTTTCAGAGTGTCTGCTTTGAGTTCAAGGTCTTTGATCCATTTGGAGTTGATTCTGGTGCAGGGTGATATATAAGGATCTAGCTTTAGTTTTCTACATGTAGTTAACCAGTTCTGCCAGCACCATTTACTGAAGAGGCTGTCTGTCTTCCATTCTATTGTTTTAGCTCCCTTATCGAAGATTAGATGGCTATAGGTCTGTAGGTTCATTTCTGGGTTTTCAATTCTATTCCATTGGTCCTGAGGTCTGTTCTTATGCCAATACCAAGTAACAGGTGAAATCTTGAACTCCAAATCTATGACAGGGAGCAGGTTGAATTGTCAGATTTAATTGACTCAAGGTTAGGGGAATTAATCTATTTCTTTGCAGCTTTAGCCTGCTCAACGCTCACTTCTGTTATTTATCCAACTGGCCAGCTGTCAATAAATCTCCCTTGAGAGCCTTTTCTGGGCAAGTAGGGGCTTGGCCAAAAATGAGGTGTTGGACTATGGCCATAACTTTTTAAATATCTACCTGTCTCTATCGTTTTGATGGATTTTCAATATTATCGACTCCAGAGCAGGCTCAAATTTTCCAATTGAATATTCTCTGTCTAGTAGCTCTCAACTACCACAGATCAAGTCTAAATTTCTTAGCTGTCTGTAGAAGATGTTTACTGCTTTCCAGTTGCTTTCTTACAGCTCTTACTGCTCTGCCGTATGAACCTGCTTTACTTGACTCACTGATACTGACCTGTCTCTTCATCTTGTCCTTCCATCTCTTCTTACTGCTTTATCTAGCAGGCCCTCCAGTTCGTTCTTCATTCTCCCTGATGCTTAAAGTCTAGCCCAGGTATTCATTTTTATCATGAACCATCACCCCAGTCTCTTAGGTCAGAGTTGCTGTAGATTCCAGCTATTGCCACTGCTACTGTTCTTTCATATCACATCCAGTCCTGGTAGGAATTGTCTGCTATTAATTGACACCATATGCCTCCCTTCCATATTCTACTATGAACTTAGGACAATAGAAACAGCTCCTCATGCATCTTTTTATTCCATCTAGTGCCTGGTACATAGTCCCTGTTCACTGAGAAATGACAGTTCTTTTTGTTTCTTTCATGAGTTTCTGTCTAGCCAAAGAGGCTGATATTAAATAGCAAAGTGATCTTTTTTTTTTTTTTTTATCAAAGTGATCTTGTATTAGACAATAGGATATTTTTGGAGCTCCTACTTAAAAAATATAAATGGAAACTGGAATGTACTTACCTCTACTTAAGGATTTTTTAGGCTGAAATGAATAACTTTTTCTTTGGTTGTAAAATGGAATTCTCTGTCTAAGGGACCAGATTAGACTTGCTAGTAGTGATTTGTTTGTGGAAAGGATAGTATATCTTTATTTATGTATAATAAGTCTAGGAAAACAACTCTTTGAATGTTAATTATAGAACTGTGCTTCCTGCTTTGAAAGTTCAGCTTTTGCCACATAATCATGAGAGACTGTAAAATAGGTGGCACTCCTGAAAACTTGCACTTTGGATGACAGATGAAATATTGCCACCTTCTGCTCATTATGTGAAGTACACATTGCCTCTCAAGGAATACTGTTTATCCGTTAGTTCTCTGATGGTAGGTAATCAACTATTTTAAAATGTGGACAAAAATCTTTATTATATATTAACATAATAATAATTAAAATAGTAATATTTTGTTCTTTAATTTGTTAGCCATTTTTGAGGGGTGTGAAGATATGTGATGAGTACACTTAAATTATTCAAGCTAAATAAATGTGAGCTTCTTAAAAATACTTGAATAGCTGAGCACTGGTGGTACATGCCTATAATCCTACCTACTCAGGAGGCTGAGCTCTGAGGATCATGATTCAAAGCCAATCCCAGGCAGGAGAGTCTATGAGATTCTAATCTCCAATTAACCACCAGAAAACTGGAAGTGACACTGTGGCTTTGGCTCAAAGTGATAGAACGCTAGCCTTGAGGGAAAAAAGCTTGAAGACAGTGCCCAGGTCATGAGTTCAAGCCCCAGGACCAACAAAGACAAACAAACAACTTGAATATATAGTGTTAATTTGTTTTATTTTATGACCTTTGTTGGAAAGGATTAACCAACAGCTTGGAAAAACAATTATGAAAAGCAGTGATCTTTTATAAGACATAATTCCAAAGGAATAATGTCTACTGGTAATTTTTTCCTGATGCTAGAACTTGAACTCTGGGCCTGCGTACCGTCCTTGAGCTCCTTTTGCTCGAGCATTCTACCCCTTGAGCCACAGCGCCCTTCCGAGTACTTCATTGAAGCTAAGAGTCTCAGACTTTTCTTGCCCGAGCTGGCTTCAAACTATAATCCTCAAATCTCAGCCTCCTGAATAGCTAGGATTACAGGAGTGAGCCACAGTGCCTGGCTATCTGTAATTTTTGAAACAAAGTTTCCCTCCAAAATAGTTAAATTCATAAAAGAAAGAACATAAGTTATTTCTAGGATAGTTTTTTTTCTCTTGATTCAGGTTACAGCTTTTGTTCTTGGAGGCGACCTTCCTTCTTAGATGAGGAAGAATGTCCTGAGGGCTGCTGTTGCCCAGCCGAAGTCACTTGGGCTAAACTATGGAGCAAGGCCCTGTGTGGCACGGGTTTTACTTCTGCTGTTTTATTTGTCACTTCTGATACATTTTATTTCTGTTACTTCAATTACTGTTTCCAAATTGATATAGTTGTCTACAGTCTTACTGTGCTTAATAAACATCCATTTTTTAAAAATGCTATGGCATACATATAACATTCTTTTTTGAATAAACCTATATTTTATCATGTTCATTAAGCACAGAAACACAATCCCCCCCCTCACACACACACACACACACACACGTAGACATGTGATCAATGTTCTTCTTGGTGCCTGATCCAGGGCTTGAATTTGCCTTAATTCATCCAGCCTTGCCTTATTGAGATAGTCATGAGTTTTCAATACTTTATTATAAAAATATCACAGTAAATGTTAGATACTTGCACATCTATGTTTATGTGCTGATCATTTTAATTTTGTTAGATTCTTACCATTAGGTAAGTTTGACTTAAAGATGTACATGTTTTTGTCTTCATTTAGCTTTTTTTCACTTAGCATTTTGAAAAGTACTGCTTAACGTTTTGCCCTTAACGTGGGTTATTTTTCAATCATAGTACTTTAATGTATATAAGTGATGGGTGGGGTTGCAACAGACGAGAAGGGAAGTGATGGAAGGGCTGGCGCCCGTCAAGATGCATTGTACTCATATCAGTTGACCTGTTGAATAGAAATCACTTTGTACACCTACTTAAAGGTGATCATGAAAACTATTGGCCATTTTTTTTCTGATAGTGAGATCCTGGCATAGGTTCTTTGGCTAGGATCCTTTGTGGCTTCCTTTTTGTGGCTTGGGGGTAAGCATACGCAGTGAAACTGTTCATAGGTGTGTTAACATGCTAAGTCAAGCATGAGTGGAGTGTTGCCAGGCATACATCTTTGTATGTCTCAGCTGTTTCTTTACAGAGACTTTTGCTATACAGAGTTAGGACAGAATTCAAGCTTAATAAATTTCTCCATACTCCATTATCATTGAACTCAATTTTCACCAAGAAACTTGCAGTATCTCATGCAAAATTATGGTAATGAAAGTGATTTTTCTAAAAAGCCTTATTTAGTGTCTAGATTTAAATAACATGTCTAGAGGATAATGTCCCTAGGGATTGAATATATGCCTTCTTTTTCTTGATTGTATTCAGTGATTTGTGCTCAAGGTTTAATTGTGTATCTGAGGGATCCTTACAGGCAAATTAGAATGATACAAATGAACGTGTTTGGCAACATGTTTGTTGGTAATATCATACTACTAGATATCCAAATTGATTATATTGATGCTCTCCTGCCATCCTGTAGGTTGTCATGTGTGGTATTAAGGTGGAACAAGTTGGCTCTGTCAAAGAATTCCACATTGAATTCCACAAGAACACAGGTATCTCCCGTAGAGTCTGTTCTATGGAATGCTTCTTAGCTCAAAAAACGTTAACCCTCGCTAACAATTTCATGCTGTTGAATCTAAGCTCAGCATAAGTGCACGAAAATACACAACTCAATATAGTGCCCCAATGATTTAAATCACATTCTGTTTCTACATATCATTTTGTATGTATTTATGAATATCCATGAAATGTTGTGATTGCTTCATGTCCTGAGTTTAATTGGTGACTGTTTTGTTTTGCTGACCACTGTAGCTTAATGCAATGGCAAACCGTGCTGCAGGGAAAGGCTATGAGAATGAAGACAATTATTCCAATATCAAGTTTCAGTTTATCGGGATAGAGAACATTCATGTCATGAGGAGCAGTCTGCAGAAAATGCTGGAAGGTAAACCATTTCCTTAATGCAGAACATTAAAAAAAAAACACAGTTAAATTGTGATGCCAACACAAAAGCAGATAACCTTCTGATTTCAGAATGTTTTGTTTCATTTTTTTCTGGCATTACATAGATGTGAAAAGTTGGTGAAAATATGTCACAGTGATTCTTTAAACATTTAAGAGCCTTTCTCTTCTTTCATTATCATCATCATGTAGTTTTGCCATTTGGTTGCTCACAGTTACATACTGTCCAGTGGTGCTTACCATCTAAGATAAAAGTGCACAGGGATCATAATGTTAGTGTAACCCATAGTGTAGCTCAGTTCTACATTGAAAGCAATAACACCATGTTCTTGTGTCAGGTTCATAAACTGTAGCTGCAAGTTGGGGAGTGACCTTTATAAAGGAGGGTATTGAAGGTCTTGATCCTTGTTTCAAAACAATAGTAACTACTGCAACTACTGCATGCTTCAGCCCCAGCTCTACCACACAGAGCAGCGGACACTGTAAGACATATTCTCATAGGCAGTTGCTCATTCAGATAGGAAATTTTAAAGATGGCACATGAAATAGAAGAGTTGTTTGAATCACCACAAGCAGATAGTTTGCATCTTAAGCTTAGGGTCCTCTTGAGGAATCTATTGCTACAGTCTACAATTTCTGTCTCCAATAGCAACCGAGAAGAGAAAGAGGAGGATACAGAATCCCATAGGTTTGTGCTGTGCCTGTATATGCTGTGTATAACTTTTGGGAAAAATACGGAGAGATGAGTGAGTGCTAGTGGAGTGGGCTGTCCTGGTGGGAAATGTGGAGTCTGGCTTGAAGAGGGACAGCGAAAGAGCTGACTTCTTTTTCTTGGGATACACATTTGCTTGCAGTACTTACTCCGTTCTCTGTTCAGTCAGAGGAACAGGGTATGTTGAGAATCTAATAATGAGGCTGGAAAAACTCGAGTGTCACAGAAAAGCCTAAATTTCATTCTCTACTGGACTTCTTGGTTTATCTCAGTTATGAAAATTTGAACACATCAGTTAATTTCTTTGCTACTCTCTTACCTGATGTAAAATGAGAGAATTAGATTAATAATTTATGTGAGCCTTTATAGCTATGATATTTGATATCCTGGCTGCAAGCACTTTAAAACCGAACCGTCAAGGCCTGGGGTTATAGCTTATTAGTAAAGCACTCTACTCACATACAAAAGACACTGAATTCGATCGCTAGCACTGGGGAAAAAAGGAGGATTTAAATGTTAGAAGAAATCTATTCCTGCATCTGAAAAAAAAAAAATAAATCACATCCCCAGTTATCTCCATTGTACTTGGATGAATAGTTTTCTGTCTCTTATTCACAGTGACAATACTATGGGCATGACTATTAGAGCTTCCTGAGCTTCTAGAGATTTTCATGACCTGTCTGTCTTTCTTATGAACTGTGCTTCTTGCATGTGGAAAAATTGAGCTAGCTTGGTACTGTTATTGAAAAGGTAGTCTAGCTTTAGTATGAGAAGTATTTACGGTTATAAACATTAGAAAACCTTTACATTGATAAACTTCATTTTGCAATTTCATAAGATGACTTCTGAGAACATGAATTTTCTTTTATGCAGAAAGTTGCTCCTGGGAATGTTTCTAACTTATACATTTGACTTTAGTTGTTAAACTGGCATTTACTTAACCTCTCAACCTTTATCAATATGATCTGATTCACCACGTTTTCTAAGGGACAAGAAAGCTGAACATGTTTTGGAGGGCAGCTCTCTGTTTGACAAGGGATCGTGGTACCTCGGCATAACTTTTCCAGCTGCAAGCAAGGACAGCTTTCTGGATGCCTTTCAGGAGACTTGACCAATGTTTGACTGTCTGTTTTTTCTGAGTAAATTATAAACCACTTGTGGAGGCTCAGCTAATGAGATGATGCAATCGGTGTCTTCGCACCGCTGTCCTTGGCATTGAGATTAGAAGGTCTGTGCTGCTGGCTGGACACCTGGTAGGCCGGAACAGCATGTTTTGCTCATTACTCCTACTAATTTCTCCAGTTCTGCTAACCCACCTGTTACAGACATTATCCAAATAGGTTCTGAATACTAGAAGTAAAGTTATTTGCATTCTGCTTTCAAACAGCTCTTATCTGTGGCGTAGGTTCATATCCTATAAAGATCCTTTCATATAGCTCATTTAATTTACACTTAGATTTGTAAGTATTAAACCAAACTTTTTTTTTCCTGTCAGCCCTGGACCTTGAACTCTGGCCCTGGGTGCTGTCCTTGAGCTTTTCTTTGTGTACAAGGCTTGTGGTGCTGTATCACTTGAATCATAGCTCTACTTCTGGCTTTTTGTGGTTAGTTGGAGATGAGAGTCTCACAGATTCTGTCTGGGATGGCTTCGAACTGTGATCCACACATTTCAACCTCCCGAGAAGCTAGATTATAGGCATGAGCCACCAGTGCCTATCTGAAACCAAACTATTTTTGGGGCAAATATAACAACTAAGGAAATAAAGGGATGCCTTTCAATTATATAGCAATATCATAATGAATTAAGTGTTATAGTAGTTTTCTTTTAGACTATATAGATAGTGCTTTTCCCCTTAACTAATTAAAGAACACCCTGTAATTTTCTTTGCTACTAAGCTGGTTGATTGAAGAGCTCTGGATATGCATTTTTCAAGACTGAGGACATTGTTATAATCAGAAGTGAAGCTATCACCTTTTACCCATCCTTGTTGTTGGGAGAGAATCAGTGGGAGGAAGGTAGAGTTGGGTACATGAGCTATGTCCATATCTCAACTTGATGAGGTCGTGCTGCATGAAGATTCTTCTTTGTGTGGCCCTGCTTGGAACGGTGTGGCAAGACTTCTTTTTCAATCAGCATGCCATCTTTCTCTCCACTTCCAGTTTTGTGTCTTTATTCCACAGGAATCTTAGATGAATACTGCTTGCTGTTTTAATGTGTAGTTGTGTACAGCTGTTTTCATTGACTTATTCATTTAACTAAAAACCAAGCAACTGCTGTCCAATAGGCTTCTTGTTTCCACTTCAGTGAATGTATTTAATGTTCATAGTGACATCCATACTTATATATGAAGAAAATTCCAGAGAGTATACTGTATGTATGTATGTGTGTGTATATATATATATATATATATATATAATTTAAAGAGAAGCAGTAACTTGAAACAATAATCATGTAAGGTATGTTTAGACTTGCCATGTGTTGAAGTTTACTTTCTGATGGTGCTGGAGAGGATGGAACTCGGAGCTTTAATCAAGTACCCTACCATGGGGCTCCATCTCCAGCCCCTTATACTTGCTCTAGTAACTCCATAAATGCAAGTGAAAAATTTCACATTCACCCTTTTTTAAAACTAAAAACAATGTGGTATTTCTGGAATCATTCAATTTTTTTTTTTTAAATTATTACCTTTAAGTGGTTTTACAAGGGAATTTCAATTCAGTGTAACAATTTCTGAGTACAATTCATCTTGTTTTCGATACCAGTTAAGCCTAGAGAGCACATGTTACCACTGCATATTGTGAATTTGTCTTTAGATACAAAGCTAATTGGGAATTCTTCATGGAAACTTGCTCTTTGATTTTCTTTAGGATAATTTTTAGTGTTCAAGAATGTGTGGATGTTGACATTTGCTTATATACATATTCATTTATCAGAAGCTAGTTATACAGACATGAACATACTGATGTACGAATATTGGCTGCTGCGTAAACGCAAGCACTACAACACAGGTGTAACGATTGAGGCTTCATTATATCTCACCATTTTGTATTATATTCTTTCAATAGAAAACATAGGTAAATACAAATGACTTTCATGATATTAATTATATAGAGAATTCACAAAATATCATTGTGACTAGTGTTAGGAATGTTTTGACAAATCTGTGTGTGTGTGTGTGTGTGTGGTACTGGGATTTGAACTCAGAACCTCATGTATGCTAGGCAAATACTCTACCACTTGAGTTCTAGCCATAGCTTTAGGTGTGTGTGTGTGTGTGTGTGTGTGTGTGCGCGCGCTGTTGGGGCTTTAACTCAGGGCCTGGGTGCTATCCCTGAGCTTTTTCATTAAAGGCTACCACTCTGCCACTTTGAGTCACAGTGCAACTTCCAGTTTTTTGGTGGTTAATTGGAGATTAACCACCAATTAACCACCAGCTAGGGCTGGCTTCAAACCAAGATCCTCTGAGTCTCTGAGCAGCTAGGATTAGAGACATGAACCACCAGTGCTCAGTCCTACTTAGTTTTCGGATAAGAATCTCACTAACTTTTTGCCTTGGCTCGACTGAACTCACAATTTCTTCTATACCTGAGATTAAAGGCATAAGCAACTGTGCACAGCTAAGGTCTTCTAGTCTTTTGGTGTGGAGAACCTCACATATAAGTAGGGTAGTAAGGAGAGCATCACTGATCTAAATAGGGGGATATAGTTCCCTGCAGGACACAGTGATTAATTTGTGTCATCAGGTAGATTTTAAGAGAAAGAGGGAGACTACTATCAGACTTCACTAAACATTTCCATTCTGCAGTCTCCTCTGAATGGCTTCATTTGCTAGGATGTACAATGAGTTTTATAGTGTTTATAATTTTGCTAGTTCTTTAGGAATTATCTCATTGATCTTGGCTTCTTGTGTCATTTGGAAAAAATAACTCAAACATGAAACTCAGGCAGGTCATGTATACTTCATCTTTAGGGCTTAGGGTGCATTTGAACTCTTACGGAGTTCAAATGAACCCTTTGCTTTGTGCCCTGTCTGACCTCATGTTAGCAGCACAGGGAAAAAAATGAGACTGGTGTAGGAAAAAGCCAAAGGAGGACTAGATGAGCCTCTTAATAAGTCACTTTCACGTTTCTCATGCTCCAAAATTACGTAGCTTCTTAAAAAATTTTTGTTTTTGAGGATGGTTTCTATATGTGTAGGGACTATAGCTACACTGTTATATAAAACAAATGTCATTAGACCCAGCACTCACCGCCTGGCTAGTAAGTGCAGTTCTCTGTAGGTTGCGGCATATGCCTGTGAGGTCATCAGAAATGAACTTTGCTCAGCAAAAATGGTTTGTAAATATTGGTTTGGGTTTGGCAACAAGAATGAGCAAATCAGTATTCCTGCCTTATCCTGAGTTTATCCAAACAAACCTAACAGTTTTATATTTAAAAGCCTGGACACTAATTGTTTCAGTCTCCAGTGTAACCCCGTCTGCCAGATGCGTTAATCATCTGTGGAGCCGTTTGCCTTGAACATAGCCACTGACCATTAGCCACCCTCCCAGTTGTCACCTTGCCTGAAAACCCAGTGAGGTTAGTTTACCAAGCACACTGGGCAGTTGTAGTGTTCCTGCACACAGAAAGGTTATACAAGCAGCTGTTCTTCATGTGGGAAGAAAGGAGTTGATGTGCTAAGAGCCAGGCAGCCCATCTTGTGAAGTAAGGGAGCTTTGGGGCATTCCCTCTCCAGCACATTTTAGAGCCTGGTCCAGAACCATCCATAGCTTTCTCTTGGCACAATTTTATTTTTTTTGCCAGTCCTGGGACTTGAACTGGGGGACTGGGCTCTGTCTCTGGGCTTCTCTGTGCTCAAGGTTAGTGCTCTACCACTTGAGCCACAGCACTTCTGCTTTTTCTGAGCAATGTATTGGAGCTAAGAGTCTCACTGACTTTCCTGCCCGGTCTGGCTTTGAGCTTTGATCCTCAAACCTCAGCCTCCTGAGTAGCTAGGATTCCAGGTGCTCAGCTGCAACTTTTCAGCTGACCATTTGTGTGCCTTCTTGGGAAGAGATTGTGAAAAGGATCTCGTTCTTGGGCTGAGCTTCAGAGTTTGGATGCCAAGCTATTCCCAGGAACCTTAGACTTAAAAAACAAAAACAATAAAAGTCTACAAGGATGCTAACCAGCCTGAAAGTTTGGCCTGTTTAGTGCGAGGGGGGGGGGGGGGAGAGGGGGGAGAGGAGAGCGCCTGTGGAAGGTTTAAAGGAACCAGTTGAATCCTCCACTTCACAAAGTGGAGTGTGTATATTTTAGGATTAAGTTGTGGACTTCGGATCATGGTAAGAGAGCGAGCGAGTGATAGGGATGCAGGAAGTGCACTGCAATCTGTCAGGCTTCCCGCTGGGCTGTCTCTGGGCAGCATCCATGGGCAGAAGCAAGCCTGCCACCTGGAGGGCTTGTCTGGTATTGCTGGGTAGCTGTTACCAGAGGACAGAACTGTGCTGGGGCAGGGCGGGCAGGGCTTGCTCCTTTGTCGCTATTGGCTGACATTTGGCCTTTACATCCAGATCAGCTATCAGTCAGCATACTATATCTGAGCTCCCCTGAGCTCATCAGAAAACTTGCTGAGGTGTGCTATGGCCACACTGCTGAGAATTGCCTTCTGGATCATCAATTTCTGTATGTCCTTCCTAAAAACATGGGTCCCAGCTCTTTTCTCTCCCCTCCCTTTCCTAATTTCCATTTTCCTACTGTACAAAAGAAAAGCACACCCTTTACCACAGCTTGAGTCTTAGCAAAGCGCATTATCCCAGGAGATGCCATGTGCGAGGGAAGGCAGAGTTTCCCCCTTTGTTTTAGAGGTCCACGTGCAATGCGTTTAGAGACTTCTAACTAAATTTCCTTGAGTAACTCCAAGTGAGAAGTGTGGTTTTGTAATTTTATTTTTTTTCATTTGTAAGTTATTTTTTCTGTTGTTTTTATTAGCATACATTAGTTCTTCAACGGTAAGACTTCATGGTGACATTCTCATTTAGGCCTACAATATGTCCTGATCAAGATCACACCCTTATCACCCTCTACCACCCTCCAACCCCCTTCTAAAATAACTATAACAGGTTTCAGTGTTCATTTTCATACATGCCTATTTTAATGTTACATTTTCTGTTGGCTACATTTCAAAAGTAAAAGGAAATGAGTGGGTTAATTTTAATAACATGGTTTATTTAATATAATATCCAAACCCTGTCATTTTAACAGGCAGTCAGTATAAAAAGCTACTCATGAAGCTGGGCACCACTGGCTCACGCCTGTAATATTATCTACTGAGAAGGCTGAGATTCCATGATTGTGGTTTGGAGCCAGACAAGGAAAAAAAGGCTACAAGATTCCTTCAGTTAAACAAGCCAGACTAGCCAAGCACAAGTGGCTCATACCTGTAATCCTAGCTTCTCAGGAGGCAGAGATCTGAGGAACATGGTTTGAAGCCAGCCTGGAAAGGAAATGTCTGTGAGACATGATCTGTAATTAACTACCAAATAAAGCAGGAAGTGGAGCTGTGGCTCAAGTGGTAGAGTCTTGAGCATATAAGCTTAGAGACAGTGTCTAGGCCCTGAGTTCAAGTTTTAGGACTGGCACCACACACACACCGAAAAAAAAAAAAAAAAGCGCCAAACTTTGAGCTTTCTTACATTGCACTAGAGAAATTCAAGGGCTCTTCAGGTGTTTACCTGTGGTATCATTGCCAGAAAGGTAAATGGATGTTCTGTGCTAGATATCACTATAGTAAGAATGAAACATTCCCATTAATGTTAGGAATTTAAACTTTGGAGGTAAGACTCTCAGTAGGATCAAGTTAAGTTAGATATTTATTTTGACCTAAGTATTTCAGGCAGTTTCTACAACAAAAAAGCATTATTAACAAACTGCCAGTGAAATACCATATCATGATATAAAATGAGAGATTGCTGTAATTTCACTTTTACGACACAATTTATGTTTCAGTGTGTGAGCTAAAGTCTCCCTCCATGAGCGATTTTCTGTGGGGCCTAGAGAACTCTGGCTGGTTGAGGCACATTAAAGCCATCATGGATGCGGGCATCTTCATTGCAAAGGTATGTGATCTCAGAAGAATCTAACACCAGCAAGACAATCTGACTGCCAAAGATCCTTTCCCCAGAGCCCACCTATACTCAGCAGGGCCCCTCTGAGTAGGGAGTTGGCTATACAGCTTTTCTCTGGGCCACAACAATGTTTTAAAAAGGAATATACAAATAAAAATAGAATTTTAGGTGGTGATAAATGCTAGTATGAAATTTCCAGTATGTTTTCTAATGTATGTTTTCTGCCCAAAGTGGTAACCTCAGAGTCATATGTAGTTTTATACTAGAAATTCCTTCTTAGTAAATTTTCTTGTAGGGATTTTACATTTGTTTTCTCTTCCTTCTGTTTTTTCTAGATCTATTACTACTTGACCCTTCCTTATCCCTGTATCTGTAATATCATAGTTTTATAATAAAAAAGTGTTGAGGTTCTCTTTGGAAATGGTAAGGGCCAGTAGCAACCCCAGAAATTCAGTAAGACTGAAATTCAGTAAGACTTAATGTCAAAACTGGAGGGGAAGGAAAAGGGTAGCAGGAGGGAGGCCATGTGCCATGATACATTTGCATAGGAAACAAACTTTCATTTGGTAAATCTTCTACTGGATATAACAGGAGGAAAAGAAAAGCTTCAACTAGCACAAAGCCACCCATTGGCTCTGCTTTAATGAAGGTGTAAATGCTAAATTTAAAACAATGTTAAGTGGTGCTGTGGCTCAAGCGGTAGAGCTCTCACATTGAGCTGAAGAGCTGAGGGACAGCGCCCAAGCCGAGTTCAAGCCCCACGACCAACCAACAAAAAAAAAAAGATAAAGGAATTATTGTTGATTTTAACTTACAATGATATTATAGATGGTTTTTAAAGAGATTTGTTTTTTAAGAGACATATTCTATAATATTTATAAGTGAAAGATTATGATGCTGGGAATTACTTCTAAATAGGCGGGAGGAGGCAGGGAGGAGGGAAAGTTTCTTGGAAGTAGATGGGGGCTCATTGTATTTTCTCATGTGTTGTTTTGTAAATTCTTAAAGTTCTTCCAAATAAGGTTTTAAAAAATGAAGGCTGTTTTGTTTAAGTCTGTAACCACCCCTGCTCCTGACGGTTTTTCCTTCTTATATTCATTCTTTGTATCTTTGCCATTGGGTGTGTTTTAGGCAGTTTCAGAGGAAGGGGCCAGTGTGCTGGTTCACTGTTCTGATGGCTGGGACAGGACTGCTCAGGTGTGCTCTGTGGCCAGCCTGCTTCTAGACCCTCACTACCGAACACTGAAGGGCTTCATGGTGAGTGTGGCTGGCTGGGGGCTTTACCAGGGAGAGAGGTGAGGCTCTGACTGGCATTTAGAAACTTTCTGCTGCATTTTTTTTTTCTTCCTAATCAACATTATTCTTCTCTTAGTAAATCAACAAGATCAACTGGAGAAAAGGTAAAAAAGAGGAAAATATATAGGATATTGAACCCCATTCACAGTGCTACTCCATGCAAGTTTGGGGGTGAACATAAAATATATTTAGTTGTTTAGAAAATAGTGCTTGTTTTGAGATACAGGGGTTTGAAAGCACGGTTTTGCATTCATCTCTTTTTTTCTTTTGTCAGTCGTGGGGCTTGAACTCTGGGCCTGAGCACTGTCCCTGTGCTCTTCAGCTCAAGGCTAGCGCTCTACCACTTGAGCTACAACGCCACTTCCGGTTTTCTGGTGGTCTATTACTGCTGAGCTAGGCCCCCAGCCCTTTTTTGCACTAGTTATGTTTGCATGTGCTTAGACTACCATCCATCTACTTTAGGCTTCTCAACATAGCTGGGATGACATGCGTTTGCCATGATGCCCAGCTTCTTCCATTGAGATGAAGCCTTTTCTGCCCAGGCTGTCCTGGAACCTTGATCTTCCCAATCTTAGCTTCTTACATAGCTGGAAGGGCAGGCACATGCCCCAGGTAATGGTTGAAAAGGGGTCTCATGAACTTCTCTGCCTAGGCTGATATTGTACTGCAGTCCTCCTGAACTCAGCTTCCCAAATAGCTAGGACTGTAGGTGTGAGCCACTAGTGCCTTACTAAATAATGATATACATTATATACATTATATCATTATACCACATAAATATATGTGGTATATATAAATATATAATACCACATAAATATATGTGGTATTAATATATATATATAACTTGCTCAGAAGTATTTCAAACGTAGGTAATATGTGAATATATAACAGAAAACACTTTTCAAAAACAAGTATGTGATTTGACAGTGCTAGAGTAAGAGTTTTCTGCTTGCTAAACAAGTGTTCTACCATTTGAGCCATGTCTCAATCTCAAAAAATGGTAATTTGGAAATAAAATTTTGTATATTTTACATGCAAATAGATCTGGGGAGAAAAACTTCAACTGTTTGTTTCTGTTCCTTTCTTTCTGATGGTCTTGCTGAAATCCTGAGTCCATCCTCTTCCTTTAGGTGTGCACCACAATGTGACCTGGACTTCCCAAGGCCATGGCTGCCTGAAGTGGCAAAGCTGTGGTTACCATGAAGCAGTTTCATCACTGTGTGACTGAAGGAGCTTCCATGGTTTGGTAGAAAGCCCTTCAGTGAATGGTGAATCCTGCTAGGGAAAAATGAGGGCCGAGGAGCCCTACTGAAATATTATTACTGTGGGATTAGCAAGTAATATCAGCTGACACCTGGACAAGAGAAAAGCAGACTTGCTGTCCATAAGTTTCCGTATTATTTGGGGGAGGGGTGCAGGTGGAAAATAGGTGTCCAAGAACTGCCAGTTGCCTCTGACAAGTTCCTGAGACTTGAAGGTCACCCTCCTGCTTCAGTCTGTCCTTTGGAAAGTGAAGGTTCTTAGTTGCACCATTCTGTCCTTCCACATCCCACATGTCCATCCTCATTGTTTACATCTAACCTTGGAATTTGCAGTGTGCGCATGTGTATGTACACACATACACGTGTACACACACACATGTACACACACACATGTACACACACACACACACAACACACACACACACACACACACACACACACACACAGCCTTTAGAGTCAGGACCTACTTCTAGGGAAAGCCAAAGGGCTATTTTAGAGCTTTGGTGGTATTAATGGGCCTGTTGCATATATTTACATATTTTAAAATGCAGATTTTAAATTTATTGGTAATCCTAAATCTAAAGCAGGGCTAAAACCATATTTTTCTAATATATATTATTAAATATATTTATATCCTAGGAATGTTATTTTATAATATAGGAATATATTTAATATATTCCTAAATCCCATGACTTTAGAAAACAATATGTAGTTAAAGGTTAAAAGAAAACATCCCCATTTCTCACTGAAAAGTTGGGGTTTTGCTTTATACAGAGGCAGCATCATATGGTGGTTATGGTATAGGGTTTACAACATCCCCCTAGGTTAGCAAGTGGCATTCACTGCTTTGAGGTATCACGATCTCTAGCAAAATATTCAATCTTCTGCTTCAGTCTCCCTTTCTCTAAAATGGCAAGGATAAGAACACCTGTCCCACATTAAATATATGAAGCAAGATGAACAGTGCCTTGTTATTGAGAAACACACAGTGGGTAGGGATATTATAGTTTCATAATCTATTCTCATTTATTTTCCCATTCATAACCTTCAACTTTGCCTTTCCCTGTACTTCACTGGATAATTTTTTAATGGTTTGCAGCTTATCTAAGGATACAGACTTCTGTTCTCTGGAGGCTTTAGGTTTCACATTCTCATCCATTTGCTTCCTTCTGTGACATTTACATTCTTTCTTGTGTAGGTCCTGATTGAAAAGGACTGGATCTCCTTTGGCCATAAGTTTAATCACAGGTAAAAATCTAAAACTCTGTTGCTTTGAGTGTGACACTCCTTCCTCAGACTACTGTTAGTCCTGGAAGCCTATGCCACCATGCCAGGCTAATAATTCCATTTCAAAAATGAGAAAAGTAAAAGCCCAGTATCAGTGACTCATGCCTGTAATCCTAACCACTCAGGAGGCTGAGATCTAAGGAACATGATTCAAAGCCAGCCCAGGCAGGAAAGTTTGAGACTCCTACCTCAAATTATGCACCAAAAAGTCAAATGTGGAGCTGTGGCTCAAATGGTAGAGTGCTAGCCTTGAGCAAAAAGCTCAGGACAGTGCCTAGGCCCTGAGTTCAAGGCCCAGGAACAGCACAGAAAAAGAGAGGCAGGAGGAGGGGAGGAGGAAGGGGAAGGGGGGGGAGGGAGAGAAGCCCCCAATTAAGATTACATTATTATTCCCAATTTGAGAGTTCTACTATGTACTAGACATTTCACATTTCTAAGATAGAAGACAGCATAGTAAACACAAACATGTAAATGGTTGAAGAGCAGCATAACTGAACTTAAAACTTTCCTTATTCATGTAAAGTCCTTTGAATTTTATCCTTAGCATTAATACTCTTTTGTGCCCAACTCTTCATTACTAAGTTTGTGTTAAAACTGGAATTTAAGATTATTTTTTTACATTTATTCGTCTGAGTTTCTAAGAGTTACCTAGGAATTAGGGTTGATTTTTATTACTTTTGCATTTATAGTTTTCTAATTTTTAAAAAATATTTGACTATAAAAATCCCGAATACTTTGTTTTGTAGATACGGAAATCTAGATGGTGACCCAAAAGAAATCTCTCCAGTAATTGACCAATTCATTGAGTGTGTGTGGCAATTAACGGAACAATTTCCCTGTGCCTTTGAGTTCAATGAGAGGTTTTTAATTCACATTCAGCATCACGTTTATTCTTGCCAATTTGGAAACTTCCTATGTAATAGCCAGAAAGAGAGACAAGAACTCAAGTAAGTGTTTTAGTGTTTAATTTTCATCTAGTTTCTGACCATTGAGAATTTCAGGTAACTTTTCATGATTTGGAAGGATCTTTCCTTTAGTCACATATTTACACTGGCTTATTGAAGCTGTTTTCTTGTTCCTGAAAATATTTTCATAAGTGGCTTAAATGACATCAACATGTCAGAGATATGTATAGGTTCATTTCCCGCCCCCCCCCCCCCCCCCCACAATTTCTGCCAGGTTGAGACTCAGAACACTGTCATTTATTGGAAATATACTATATTTAAAGGAAGTAGTTTTTGCATTAAAAAGGAAAAAACAGACACTGGTGGTTATTTTTGTGTGTGACAGAATTGTAACTCTAAGTGGAAAAGCAAATTTGAAGTTCAGGCCACCAGGATTTTTTGCTGTTACTTGGTTTGAGGTTCTTGCTTTGGAGCCCAGGCTGTCTTCAAATTCACAGTCCTCTTGCCTCAAGGGCTGGGCTTAAAGGTGTGTACTGCCATGCGTGCCCTGCAACTCAAGTCATTGTTAGTTTATTATTCAAGGGTAAAAGTAGAGACAATGTAGACTGAAATTCCAAGTAAGTTGGGTGATTTAGGAAATAAATACAAATGAGAATTTTTTTGAGGTTTTTTTTTTCACAGAATGATCTTGTGGATTGCACAGCATCAGATATAGTTTGAAAACTATCAGTTCAAATAAAATAGGCTTCACTAGTTTAGTACCATCCGTATAAGAATGAAGTATGACTCCTGATAAATGGGGAATGACTTAAAAGAAACAAAGTGCATTCCTTAGTCTCACTGTATTTTCTATACAGTTCATGATTTGTTGAAATAACCAGCTAATTCTACTACATCTACTTACGTTGAATTCTAGTTGAATTTTCTACTTAGTAGCTATGGGGCTATGGGAGAATCATTAATGTCTCCATCCCTTACTTAGTTTCTTTTCCTGAAAATGGATATACTGTGTAAAAATTCAGTGAGGATCACAATGAGAGGAAGCAAATGAAGCACTTAGAAGAGTATCTGGGAATAAGAGTTTAGTAACTATTTGGTAGGGAAGAGCCTAAGAAACTGTAGAGGTTTGTTGTTTTTATGTGTTTTTTTAAAAAATAAATATTCAAAAGAAGTAAACATCTTGTCAACCTGAATACAGTTAGTGAGGAGCTGAAGTTGAGATTACTACAGCATTTTTCTACTGTACCAAAAACCCAACAAAAACTCAATTTCCAACCTACAGAGTAGGATGTTCTATGTTCAGTCAACTACGATTAGTTTCTTTCCAGCTCTAACATTAGACATCTATTCAGATTGATAATTTGCAGGATTATTTTCTTCATAACAGAATTCAAGAAAGAACATATTCCTTATGGTCTCACCTCTGGAAGAACCGAGCTGACTATCTGAATCCTCTATTTCGAACTGATCATGGTCAGACTCAGGAAAGTTTTCATCTCCCTACAGCTCCATGCAACTTTATGTACAAGTATGTAATCAGTTTCTCTTGGGCAAAAAATTAAGACTGTACACAGTGGAATGGGGAGACAAAAGTGGCCACTCCAGGTCCTACTAGGTGTATTCTAGATGTGTGCTATATATTATTCTTATATGGTTAATCCTGTATGATAGGAAAAATGAGTCAGAGGTCATCAAGACAACACAGAGAAAAACAAATGACATTCCTCCCTATTCTCTACCAGCTCCTGGTGTCAATTTTTCCTTTGTAGAATTTATTTCTCAGGATGGTATTGTTCTTAATTATTTTGGTACTGTTATTTCCCTAGACCTCTATAATAGATTAGTCTATAATACAAAAAAAGTTTTCATAGCTCATGAAAAAGGTTTCAGAGGAATTGAGACACACTACAGTTGCAGCCAACTTATTTATAACAGCACATTTTATTGAGGATCAGGCACAGTTCTAGGCACTGGGTAACATTAAGTGCCTGCTACTGAAGAACCTTGCCTTCCTAAATAACTAAGAGTAAGAAGGCCTGAGAATATCCCTATGATGCATTTTTTTCTTTTTTTTTTTTGGTCAGTCATGGGGCTTGAATTCTGGGCTTGAGCGCTGTCCCTCAGCTCTTCAGGTCGAGGCAAGCACTCTACTACTTGAGCCACAGCACCACTTCCGGTTTTCTGGTGGTTTATTGGAGATAAGAATCTCATGGACTTTCCTGCCCCGGCTGGCTCTGAACCGTGATCCTTGTATCTCAGCCTCCTGAATAGCTAGGATTACAGGTGTGAGCCACTGGCGCCCAGTGCCATTTTTTCTTATTTGCATTCAGTATGCTTTACTTACTATATAGGAAAAGAGGGGAAGAATTATTTTGTTCACAAAGGTCAGTTTTTGGTGTTGTGATAAAGTAAAAGGCAAATACTTAAGGTTAAAAGGCTGCTCTATGGAGCTGAAGCAACACACACACACACACACATACGGAGCTGAAAACACACACACTCTCTCTCTCTCTCTCCTTACCCTTTTTACTACTTGGGCCACAGCTGTACTTCTGGCTTTTTGGTGGTTAGAGATAAGTGTCTCACAAACTTTCTTGCCTGGGATGGCTTAAACCATAATCCCCAGATCTCAGCCTCCTGAGTGGTTAGGATTAGAGGCATGAGCCAGCAGTGCCAGCTTCATACGCCTTCTAATTCAATATTATCTATACAGATAGTCTTCAAGAATTTATCCTTCCCTAAAAGTAGTTATAGACTTCCCCAAAAGAATGTATCTACTTGACATTACTATCTTAAGAAATGGGTTTTTCAAGCCTCTAATATTCATTTGACTATTCTTGAGAAGGTAACTATATATATCTACCTTCCTCCCCAGGTTTTGGAGTGGAATGTATAACCGCTTTGAAAAGGGGATGCAGCCCCGACAGTCTGTCACAGACTACCTCATGGCAGTAAAGGAGGAATCACAACAGCTGGAGGAAGAACTAGAGGCCCTAGAAGAAGTAAGACCCTCTTGAAATTGTTAATCTATTATCCAAGCTCAGTTCTTAAACAGTGCTCTATGAAAGCTTCTTGAGACCTGGCATATAAAATATGGAACATCTATTTCTTTTTAGCCAATGGATAGCCTCAACAGTCTCAGCCAGGTGAACACCAGATAACCAAAGCCCAAATGTAGGTCATTTCAGACATTTGGCCCTGTTTGTGATACATGCCATAGTTTGTTGTACTAATTGGCTAGTGGTCAGGGTTACTATTATTGGGGAGTACTAGAATGCATGAAAAAGTGACAAAGTAAAATTAACTTTTACATGTAGTAAACATCCATTCCTCCACTTTTAAAAATTGTGTAATATTCTATTCTATTTATATGTGGTAACAGTTGAGGTTGACTAATCCATAAAGTCCAGGTTTGAACCTACATCTGCTTCTTCCTGTGTCCTTAACATTATACATAGATAACCATAAATCTTAAATATCAATATTTGCCTAAAATTATTACTTCTTTTTTAGAGACTGGAAAAGATTCAAAAAGTCCAGTTGAATGGCACTAAAGTAAAGAGTAATAAGCAAAGTGAGCCCAGCAAATACTCAGGGTTTTCTACCTCAGATAACAGCTTGGCCAACACACCTCAGGACTACAGTGGCAACATGAAATCATTTCCATCCAGGAGCCCTTCACAGGGGGATGAAGATTCAGCTCTCATTCTAACTCAAGACAATTTGAAAAGCTCAGATCCCGATCTGTCAGTGAACAGTGATCAGGAATCCGGGGTGGAGGATTTGAGCTGTCGGTCTCCAAGTGGTGGTGAGCGTGCACCAAGTGAAGATAGCGGTAAGGACCGGGACTCTGATGAAGCTGTCTTTCTCACTGCCTGAAGTTTCTTTTGGGAGTTCCAAAGTAAAGGACATATAGAAACACTACCCAAAATAAGGGAACAGTGATGTTGAAATTAAAAATAACTCAAGAAATGATTTGTGTCATCAGGAATTACAAAATGCAGCTATGAAAATGGAGGAAAAAAATCCAACTCATAATTTCTTTAGATGTTGGGCAACAAAAGTACCCATTTCTTTTCATCAAATATAAGGAAAATTGCTCACTGTTTTGAAGCTCTTTCTAGACTGCAAAAATTGTAATCACTACACACCCATTACATCTGTCATCACTTAAAGTTATCAATAGAAAGCTTCCTTGCCATGGGATGCATCTACTCAGAAAACCCGTCCCCTTTCCCTCCAACGCTATGGGTTAGAATCTTTCCTCCTGTTTCATGTCCACATGCAATTTGTGTTTCCTAAAATATTTGAATTTACTTTTCCTATTGACCTTTTTACCAGTATTTCTAAAGATTAGGTATACTGTTGAGAAAATATACTTTTTGGTTACTATATTCCTAACAAGCTTTGAATGTCTTAAAGCTTATCTTTCAGGTACAATAATCACTTTTCACTTTTCCTTAGATAATATTATTTTCAATTGTTACTGTTTTGTTGCCTTTCCCTGGCATGTTTTTCCTCATTGCTTAAAAAATAAAATTTACAACTCATTTTTTCTGTGAAATGGGTTTAATATCTAATAAAGTATAGAAGCAACATGCATTTTCTGGGTCTTCCATGTGGCAATTTGGATCATATTAATGTTCTTAACCTTTTACTGCTGTTACAGAGGCTACATCACAAAGACCATATGAGCCAACTACCAGCCTGATCCCAAAGTACAACATTGTTCAGTCAGTGGGGTAAACATCGCCAAGGGAAAATCCCAGTTAGGAACTAGAGAATCTGGTTGTCCTGAGTATTTAGCAATGTAAGTTATGGCATCTGTCATTTTAGAAATTATGTAATTGGTTAATGTTTTGGTTAACATTAATACCAATTTATGACTGCTGACTGCTGAATGTCAGTTCTGAGTGTTTTTGCTTTGTTAAAATGCACATTTTAACAATCATTTGCTGTCTTAAACTTTTAAAAAACAGAACTTGATTAAGTGACCTAAAGTTTTCATGTGCAAAATGTGGAGAAATGTTGCTATGTTTGTAGAGAGAAACTGTATTCATGCTTTATGGTTTTACAGAGAATTGTAGAATATAAAGGAATTTAATTTGTATAATTTATATCAGTATTTTAAATATGTGAAAAACTATAGAAGAATGTATTAAATTTTGCTGAAACAGGACCAAGATAAAAAGAAAGGGCAAGAAAGTCATAATGCTGAATTATTTAGTATGAAAGATTTCGAGTGTAGTAATATGTATGAATGAAACTATAGTATAATTGTAATTGTGTTGTTCATCCTATTTAAGAATTTTATTATATGAAAAATCTGTAATATAGAAGCGCTATTATAAAAAACAAAGCAAGTGTACTTCTTTTAAACTATAAAATTTGAGCATTTTCTGTTGAAAAGTTCCCCAATTAAGTACAAGGAATGTTTTTATTATTTTCTGTGTAGTATATTGTATGTAAGAGGGAATACATGGCTAATAAATAATTAGGAAATCGTAGCAACGGCTTTTACATTTTGTAACTTCACTCATGTCATGCCACAGCTTGTAGCTATTCACTCTTAGAAACGGTGTTGTACTTTTTCTCCCAGTGGGCAGTGTGAGCCTATTAAAAAACATTAATACTTTAAAAATGGGCCAGGTGCTCACTGGCTGCATGCTTGTCATCCTATGTAGGAAGCAGAAATAGGATCACGGTCCAGGTAGGCCTGGAAAGGAAGTACAGGACCCTATCCCCAAATTAGCTAAAGTCAAAGAGCTGGAAGTGTGGCTCAAAGTGTTAACGTGCCTGCCTACCAAGCCCAAGACCCAGAGGCCCAGAGTTTAACATTCAGTATTTACTTAAAACAACAACATATATATGCATATATACATACACATACACATATGTATATGTATGTACATATATATGTATATATAATATAAATACACATACCACATAGGACTATACATTATTTAGAAAACTAAATAGTATATTTAATGTGTACAATTTTAATTTTTTTTTTTTTTTTGCTTATGTGGTGCTGAGGAATCGAACCCAGGGCCTCATGCATGCAAGGCAAGTGCTCTACCACTTAGCCACCTTCCCAGCCCATACAATTTTAATTTTTAATGTGATACCAAGCCACATAAATGCTTTTGTTCATTCCACCTACTTTCTAGAATTTAACATTGAAATGTGTGTAAAAGATAACATTTATTGCTCCTTATAGTGCTTTCATAGAACTTTGGAAGAGTACTGTCAATCCAACAAGACTAATGTTTACAACACTACGTTTTCATTTAAATGAAAATTCACTTGGGAAGTGTTCTGATATCTAGAGAATAGGAAATAAACTAACAGGCTGACTCAAGGCACATTGGTAACTAGTAATATTTACAGCTCAAGTACTTATCATTTAGTGATAAGGTAAACTGCATGTAAAATAGATAAGAATTTTGATCATGATTGAGTAAATTCAATTAAAACTAAATTTTTAAATCATAAAGGATAGGAAAAGAGGGGAAACCCTGAAATAAATTTATTCTTTCAGAGTATATGATTAATTTCTATATATCAAGCTAACTTTTTAGTACAAATTGCGATCAAACCTACTTTTCAATCAACCTGTATTCCAATATTAATTTTTTGATGTTTATTCCTAGAAATGGCTTGATTTGGAACTTTCTTCTATTTTAAATCTTTTTCCATGGCAAATTTCTACCCTGGATATCTTAATAACCTAAGCTTTCCTCTGTGCTTCCAATTTCCATCCAATCTTCTATTATATATTAAGTAAAATCAGAGTGTTTATTTTGGAATGCATGTCTATAGATAATTGTTACAAAGTATACCTATGAATTACAATAGCCACCACTTAATTTCTACTGGAGCTCCAATAACTGAAATGAAATCGTAAATGACATAAGTAATCTATATCTGAACTAATTTTTAATTTGTTACATGCAGGTAATTGTGACCAGACTCCTCCAGTTAACCAGCAAAAAGTCCAGAAGTGCAAGTGTGGCTCAAGTGGTAGAGTGCCAGGCTTGAGTGAAAAAGCTTAGGGAGTACACAGGCCAAATTCAAACCCCAGTATCAGCACAAACATTTTTTAAAGTTATTTTCTATATCCAATACTGTATTTTTTTAGTCCATGTGAATACTTGCTTCCCACAAACAACTACTAGTAAGTCTTTTTCAATCCTAAGAAAGTAATTTTGATTTTTTTCAAAATGATTGCCATAACACAAACAGAACAGAAGCATGAAGATGAGGAGGTCTGCCACTGTATGCTAGGACTGGAAGGACAATCAAAATGGGATGAGATTTACATATAGACTTGTTCAAGACTTCTCCTTTATGAACTTTTAGGTTAGACATACCCACCATACATGTATTTATTCTGACATGGCATAAAAACAAATGCTGACCACGAACTGAAAATTAAATTCATTTAGAAATAAGTATTGTCTAACAAATACTTACTAATAGCTATATAGCTAACATATATATTTACTTGTTGCTATATGCTATGTAACATTACTACATAGGTAACAGACATTAGAAGAAGTCATGGACATATTTTGTCTAGAGTTAGTGTTTATTAACAAAAAAATTGTTTTTGACATAGGAATTTAGAAAGCATATCCTTATCTAACCATAACCCATCAGATACATACTCCTTAAAATAGCATCAACAGTTGGTGTTAGACTGGTATAAGTCAAAGACAGGTTTTTTAACTAAGTAAAATATTTACTTGTATTGCTTCTTAAATGCATCTCTAGTTTTAAAAACAATATAAAACATAAAGAGAAGCTGGTTTATTTTTTTTTTTATTTATTATAGGTATATTAAAAGGTACTTTGAGATGGCACATTGGCACGTTTGATATTTTCTGATATTATGAATATTTAAAAACAAATTGCCTTTGAAAGTTTTATCCAAAAAGAAGGAAAAAGGGAGGATGTGGGTGTCTTTCTGTAGCTCAAAGTACTTAAAAAAAAAAAAACTACTGAGAGGAAAAAAATCTAAATAAGATATCATTCTTGATAAAGAAATGAGGCAGTTTCAAATTAAAACTACAAGTTTAAGTAGTTTTTATAAAATATTAAAACTAAAATTACATGCATAAGGTATTTAATTATAAGAATAGCAGTGAAATTTAAATAGGACAGGATTTATCAATGATAAATAGGCATTTTTAGTGCAAATACTGCAGAAAAATTTTCAAAGCAAAGATCATAATCATTCTAATCTATATAAAATCAATCTCAGTTCTTTAAACAATGTAGAGTACATCTGAATTCAGCCATTGCAATGAAATGCCAACTTACAAATCTTAAATCTAAAATAATGTACTTAGTTTTATGTCCCATTTCTCTCTTGGCAGTCCATGTTTTCAGGAAAATCTGGAAAGAAAAAAATTCAGACAATATATTTTCATTTCTTTCCATTATCTTCCAGTTAAAACTTACTATAACATGAGGGTCCATAGATATTAAGGAATGGATAGTATTCCTATGAATAAACAATTACTTGTTTCTACTTTTCAGTTATGGAGACTATAGGCTTAAGTTTGGAAAATAATATATAAAACAGTTTACAGTTCAAGTAATGCTAATATGGGCTCAAGTTTCAGTAAGACATGCCTATCACTTCCTTTCCTGGAGTCCGATACCCTCTTCAGGGAATTTCCCATGTTCCTTCTTCAAGCTCACTCCCTCTTTTTCAGTCCAGTTGACTGGGCAGAGGATCAAGCGACACCTATCTCCAGGCCAAGGTGATTCAGCAAAGATGGAATCTCATCCACCTCTTTCCCAATAATTTTTATTAGAACACCAGGATAGCTGGTCAATCTTAACTCTGTGCTTGAACTGTCTGATTGTTATTGGACTCTGAGCAGAAATAGTTGCAACGTGATTCACATAGAAAAAAAAAAAACAACTGGGGATATAGCTCAATGATACAGTGCATGCATACTATGTAGAAGGCCTTAGAATTGAGCACAGCCTGAAAAAGAAAAAAAAAAAAAAAAGAATAGCCAATTCAGAATAAAAAAGCACCAGTCTCAAAGTGAGAGATGTTTTAGCTATGCATTGGTTTCTCGTGTTCCACTTTTGGGCAACTGAGCTGTACTTCTTTTATTTTGACACAGTGATATATCCTGCATTATTCACTCAAAGAGTTTTTTACATGTTGGGTAAGGTTTGTTCTTGTAACCAAAACCATTACTAAAGGAAAGGAAGAGGAAAAATAGGGTCTGAGTAGGTAAAAAGCATAATAGATATGGTGGTAGAAGAAACAACAGAAGGGCTGGGAAGGTGGCTCAGTGGTAGAGCGCTTGCCTTGCATACATGAGGGCCCTGGGTTCGATTCCTCAGCACCATATAAGCAAAAGGAAAAAAGCCGAAAGTGGCACTATGGCTCAAGTGGTAGAGCGCTAGCCTTGAGCTGAAGAGCTGAGGGACAGTGCCCAGGCCTAGAGTTCAGGCCCCACGACCGGACCCCTCCCCCCCATCCCCCCAAAAAAGAAACAACAGAACACTAAAGTGGAAAATTAAAATAGATAATCTGTTGATCTCCATCATCACAATGAAAAAATAAAATGAATAAAATAGGTGATTAGAAATATGCCTCAGATTATAAAAATGTTAACGAGACATCACTGCCATCATTACTGAAGATTCTTGGTTTCTGAAGCCAAGAATTTTATAACACAAGTAGTACTTTATGAAGATCATTCTGGCAGTACCTCGTAGAAAGGAAAATCCTATCATCAGAGAGAGCAGCCAGAAAATTTTCAGGGTAGGACTGGTGTGGAGGGAAAATGAGATGGACTGAAGGGTCATTTTACAGGGAAAAAAAGACAAGATGATTGAGTATTCTGTCAACCAAATGTGGCATACTGTGCATACCAGCTGAGAGACAGAAACCTAAGGATCTATCACTTGTTAAAGAAACATTGCATCTAGAGAAAATATACAAAAAGATTTCGAGTCAGGTGCCAGTAGCTCACGCCTGTAATCCTACTCAGTAGGCTGGATTCTGAGGAGCGCGGTTCGAAGCCAGCCAGGCAGGAAAGTCCTTGAGACTATCATCTCCAATAAACCACCAGAAAACTACAAGTGGCATCATGGCTCAAGTAGTAGAGTGTTTGCAATGAGCTGCAAGGACAGCGCCAATGCCCAGAGTTCAAGCTCCACGACTGACAAAAAAAATAAAGATTCCTAGTGGTTCTATGCTTAATTGTATATTTAACATATAATACAAAACATTGCATTCTATATAGCACAACTGCTATAATAATATAATAGTTAATTATATGATTATATAATATGTAACATATTACATAACAGTTATGTAATTATATAATATATGTATAATTATATAATATATAATTATATAATGTAGTTATGCTTAAAATAGTTTGAATAGATACTGTTAAGAACAGTTCTGGAGGGGCTGGGAAGGTGGCTCATTGGTAGAGCGCTTGCCTTGCATGCATGAGGCCCTGGGTTCCATTCCTCAGCACCACACAAGCAAAAAGAAAAAAGCCGGAAGTGGCGCTATGGCTCAAGTGGTAGAGCACTAGCCTTGACCTGAAGAGCTAAGGGACAGCACCCAGGCCCAGAGTTCAGGCCCCACAACCGGACCCCCCCCCCCCCCCAAAAAAAAGAACAATTCTGGAGCCGGGTGCCAGTGGCCTGTCATCTTAGCTACTCAGGAGACTGAGATCTGAGGATCATGGTTCAAAGCCAGCCTGGACAGGAAAATCTGTAAGGCTCTTATCTCCAATTAACCACCAGAAAAAGTGGAAGTGATGCTGTGGCTCAAGTAGTAGAGTGCTCACCCTGAGCTGAAGAGCTGAGGGATAGCACTCAGGACCAGAGTTCAAGCCTCAAGACTGACCAAAAATAAAAACAAAAAACAAAAAACAACACCAATTCTGGCAAAGAATACTTATATAACACTCTTGTGACTCAAACAATTTACCTATAATGGAGCATGAAATTGGCTGTGCATTGCTATCACTTGTTGAAGTTTCTCTTCCTTGGCTCTTCTACAGTGGCAAATCTAGAAATAAATTATTTAAATTATCAGTCATTTCTCTAAAAATATGTCTAGTACTTCTACATTATTATAGAATTTTAAGCAAGAATCTTTTATTTAACCTACTGACAAAGGCTTCAAGTTTTGAATTTAATAATCCAGAAAAACATTAAATTTTGTTTGCAAACTTCCAAAATACAAAATTCTGATCCTTTATTCTCTAACTATTCAATCTCAAATAGCTGTATTTTAAAAATATGAAAATAAATTCTACTCCTTTAACCATGGAAGAGTAATACCTTCAATCAAGGTATAGTTAGTTACATAGCAATGTAGAATAGAATAACGGACCAGAAACCGAAGCCATACTACTAGTATAACAAGACACAAATCATGAACATCTGTGAACTTCAATTTTCTCATGAAAAAGAGATAATAAAATCTGTCCCATATGTGTATTTATGCATGTGTGTATCACTTTGGTTTTTATAAAGATTACTAACTACAGATTATTTTTAAAATGTGATGTTACAGAGCAATTATGGTATTCATGGCTCTAGTACAGATGTTAGACTTTTTGTTTTTCAATTTAGTGCAATAGAAACAGCAGAATTTGTGCAGAATGTTCTTAATAATATGTTAGATGGTACTGGGGTTTGAACTCAGGGATTCACACTTGCTAGATAAGTCCCCTACCACTTAAGCCAAATCCCTAGCCCTCAATAATATTTTTCAAATCTCCATAATTAATAAAACAGGTTGCTATTCAGGAATATTACAACTATGAAGACTACAGCTTAACTATACAGAATGAAACATATTCTATTATTTCTGAAACAGAACTCTTACTTGATTTACTTGCTTGTGTACTCATAACAAGCAGGTTTAAAGTGAGAGGATGTTAGGTTGCTATCCTTCCCAATAGAAGCTCTTCAGATTCCTCTTACAGCACTCAAAATTCAAGTTCAGTAATATGCTAAAGCTTTTTACTCATAAATATATGTAATTTGACATTATGCTGTCACTCATCCTCAACTGAATATTACATACTGTTCTTTTTTCCATGAAGCTACTGAGAAAATCATCTATTTCAGTTTTTCCCTCCAAGAAATCTTCAGCAATGTTATCAGATTCTTCCTCAGCTTCATGTGCAGCGACTTTCAATCTTGCCTGTAGGGCACTTGCACTACAACTCTGAAAAAAAAAAATCAACAACCCAATAACCAGGCATGATGTTAGATTATAATACTCAGAAAAACTACTCCAAGGGGGTGGGGAAATGGGTTCAAATTATTGAGAGGGCAATTCACTGTATGCCTTATATAGACTCTGAGAAAATCTCCTAAAGGGTCAGACAACAAACACAAGAGAAACCAATTCACTGTTTGTATACAATAAAATGAAAAGCTATACAATTATTCTCTGACAGATTCTGGAAGAAATAAGCACCTCGGGCAAACGTGTTGAACAGGGAAAGAATGATGCTAGAAGGACTGGATATCCACATGCAAAGAAGTAAAACTGGACCCTTACCTTACTTCATATAAAAATGAATGTAAGAACTAAACCAATTTTTAAATATCTGTCCTATAGCATGTGGGATGGTAAGTCACTGAGATATTACACCCACAGGAATGCATAGTAATGTACCACTTTCAACTTCATTAAAACTGGTTATCTGTCTAAAAATCGATCATACAGTAAAGTTTCTTAATTCATGTCATATGGTTCACTTTTCAGTATTTTATAATTTTACTGCTATTGTGAAGGTTTTTCCCTACTTACTTTTGCAGTAGTAATTGCTTGACTATGGGAAAAATTTTCTCATTTCTCTAGGATTTTTAAATTATTTTTTGGTAAATTAGTGAACCACTGCTTCTGTTCCTTTGTAGTTTTCTTTTTTTTCTTCTTGGCTTGTAATAATAATCAACATTATATATAACAGAGATAATGGGACATTATTCTCTAATCCCTAGCATTATGGAGATCCTGGAAATGGTTAGTCAATGTGATGTACATTGTTGGTTTCTAATATTCAAATAAAAAACTAGAATCAAAAGAAATAATACTATTGTGAAAAGCTTCTTAAACATCTACTAAGCTCTAGTGTGGGTCAGTTATTCCCACATCTTTTGAGAGAGGACTGCTAAAGTTTGACTCAGGAGTCAAAGAAGTTTGTTAACCTTCCTGTGTGAGTTTCCTCATCTGTAAAATGGAAAATAGAGAAAAAAGTAGCACTATCTCTATCTCACACCTAGCGTCTGGCTTAACAAAAAGGTCAGTATGTGTAAGATATATAAATATATATATATATACACACACACACACAAGATACACATTAACCATTAATATTAACTATTACATCTTTTGTTCTAAAAGATGATCATTGTACCTGAAATTCATTATGGATTTATGTATTATCTAAGATCTCTACTGTTTATTTTATTGTTATTTTATTACTTTGATTTTACTTTATGGGGTGGTGGCCTTGTTAACTTGTGCTATGAACATTTTTAAAAATTTAATTTAACTTGATGTTGCTGAAAATTAACCAGCATGCTAGCCAAGTGCTCTACCATTGAGTTGCAACTTTAATCTTTTATTCTTTTATAAATTACTTCTTCAGAATTATGGGCTGAATTTTATGATACTTTTTATATATTGACTTCTTAATTTGCTATCTTAAGTTGTGTGTACACCTAAGCTTACAAATTTGTCTCATGGAGGCTTTTCATATTTTGGAGCAGATACATTCTTGCATAAACACAAAGAATGTATAGTATTGTATAACTGAGAGCCACTAACCTACATGTAATGGTATCAGGCCTTATAAAGTAAGGCAACTAGCAAACTTCTTCTGATACAAATGAAAAGAACCATAGCCCGTGCACAGTAGGATGAAAAGTTTGTGCAGGGAAGGAAAAGCAGTAGATAACCTTACCTCACTCAGTTCATGTTGTCTCTGCATCTTCTTTTCAAATGTAGATTTCATTTGTGTAAGTAACTCATACTGAGAGAGAAAAACAAGAATGGTGTTTAAGTCCACTTTAAAACTGTAGATAGTTCTTGAAAATGACCATTAACTTACCTTATCTAAAACAGTTTGCCTTTTGGCTTCCAAACTGGGCTCCAAGAGGAGATTTTTTCCTGTGAGACAAATATCTGGTTTATTTCCAGGTAAAGATCAAATTTCTCTCATGAAATGTGAGCTGAAGTAAGGAAGACATACTTGCTAATTCCTCAATACTTTTTACTAAGTCATCCTTGTCATTAATAATTTGTTTTAGTTGAGGTAAACTGAGAAACTGTTCTAGTAATACTTCTTCTTGTTCATTCATATCTGTCAGTTGTGACACACTAGAACATAAAAGAAAAACACAGGTTGTTAATTAGTCATCTTTTTCTCTATATTCATAATTTAAAATTTCATTTGGTTGACAGGATTCTAAGTAACTTCTACATGTACACATAAGAATGTTAAGAGCAATAAAACATCAACCATATTAAAAGTAGAGGCTGGGAAGGTGGCTCAGTGGTAGAGCGCTTGCCTTGCATGCCTGAGGCCCTGGGTTTGATTCCTCAGCACCACATAAGCAAAAAAAAAGCCGGAAGTGGCGCTGTGGCTCAAGTGGTAGAGCGCTAGCCTTGAGCTGAAGAGCTGAGGGACAGCGCCCAGGCCCAGAGTTCAGGCCCCACGACTGGACCCAGCCCCCCCCCCGCAAAAAAATTATAAAGTAGATGGTTAATATTCTCAAGTGAGCTTGAAAAAATGAATTCTGACTCAATAGACTTTCTCATAGATCTTTTTCTTTGAAGATACAACTGTAGGTAATGTTCATAATTACACAGACATGAAATTAACAATAAAAATGAACAAAAAACCATATAGCAAAAGTATGAAACTAGGATTCTCCCTTATTCAACTGAGACTCCTTAAAAATAATAAAGCAGTGATATCGTTAGATATTTTTCCTTGTTCTTAATTCTGTGGAACTGCTTTCTTTGGTTTCCCTGATAGGAACTAACTTATAAGATTTAAGCTATTTATTTAAGATACAAAGCAGAACATATTAGTACTATGGTAAATTTAAAACATTAAAAATCCACTGACAGGTTAACATTAGAAGACCCCTCCCTTGTCATATGTGTACTTGGAAGGGTAAGGGAGATAGAAGAGAGGATAGTTACTGTGGTATTTTGGCTTGTAAAGAACGTTCATGGGAGGCTGGTCTACTGAGTTAGCTTCAGACCTTGTAATTGGCTAACTTCAAGGATATATTGGCGAAAATAGGACTAATAATATCTTCCTAGACACTACAGGGTAAGCAGTCTCTGCTACTATAGTGTATCAAATTTGACAAGGACTAAGGTGCATGAGCAGCAGACAATGCTGTGATTCTTTAGCTGTCAAAGTAAGAGACGTAGTTACAAATGTATCTGTATGTATACACATGTTCATAAAGGATGAACAAAAATAATGGATGGTTAAAGACAAAACCAAAATGAGTGCTTGTGGGGAAGGGAACTGGGTGGAGGGGATATGGTTGTTAGCTGAATCTTTCTGGTCTTTTTAGTTTTGGCCCTGAAGTCATATGAAAACATATTTAATTTTTTTAAGGGGAAAAATTAGACTAAAATAAATGAATTCCTATGGAAATAAGTATTTTTTTCTAAGCGATATAATCATCCAGTTAAGTATTACTTGAAGAGAAACAGTATTTGGTTAGCAACAATGTTTCTTCAGGACAGAACTATTGAAAACAGAAACAGGAGATGAAAACAAAAGCTTAATCTATACACAGGAGTCTTAGTAATAATTGCTAGGCCCTGGTGGCTCATGCCTATAATCCTAGCTGCTTAGGAGGCTGAGATCTAAGGATCAAAGGTCAAAGCCAGCCCATAGCAGGAGAGTCTAAGGGTCTATGACTTCCAATTAACCACCAGAAAGCTAGAAATGGAGCTGCTGTGGTTCAAGTAGTAAAGCACCATCGTTGAGCAAAAAGGAGCAGTGCTCAGGCAGAGTTCAAGCCCCACTGCAGGCACATACACACACACAAAAATATCTCTGCAATAATCGTATTATTTTTAAAAAGAACATGAGCCCGTCAGAGAAACTGATGGCCCTAAGTCTGGGAAAAGACATGCTCACAAGGAGGCCCAGCATTTACTTTTTCAGAAATGACAGAGAAGCCACTTTCTCACTCATCAGAGCTTCTGCATCTTGCCATTTTTTAAAAAACAATTATGTCATTCTTAGTATCTAGAAAAATGCCTAGAAATGGGCTACTCAATGAATACATTCTATAAGTCTAAAACTACTTTATAAAATGTTCTCACAGACAAGCACAATACAGGAATAGTGAAGATTTTAAAAAATCTTTTTATTTAACATAGCTATAAAATGAGCATCTACTTTATAGTTTAAAATACACAATGATCCAAATTGTACTCTCCCCATTTGTTTTTACCTTAATTCTGAGAGTTCTGGAAACGCATCAGGGACATCTGGCATCTTGTACCCAAAACCGTTTTGGCTTATCTGAAGAAGATTTTAAAGGGTATTAAATTTCAGCCATCTTACTGTTCCTATTTACTTATAAAAGTAATTTTCATGCTTGTTCATCAGCAGTCACTCTTACTACTTGGGCCACTCTGCCAGCCCTTTCTTTACATCAGTTATTTTTACGATAGAATCTCGCTTTATATCCAGGCTGGTCTGGGCTGCAAACCTCCTATTTAGGCTCCTCTCTGTCCCTAGGATAACAAACACAGGACATGGTGCCCATCCTTTGTACTTTTACATAGCTCAGGATGATAGGTATACACCACTGTGCCCAGCCATCAGTTTCATGGAGTCTCACAAGGTTTTTATGCCTGAGCTGGTTTCAAACCATGACCCCACAATCTCCATCTCCCATGTAGCAAAGGGATTACACATCTGAACCACCATGCATGGCCCATAATTATTTTTACTAAGATATCTTCATCCTTGCACTTCACTTTACCCCCCACCCCTTCTTTCAACCTATTTTTTTTTCAGCATAACTTTTGCATATAACTTGGGTTTGTTTTGAGGGCTTCAAAAGATCCCATGATAGCTCTCCTTCATAAGCAAGTATGTGGCTGTAAAATAAATCTCTTCAGTATACTTGTGACTGTAGATTCCACTGCTACAGAATATATTTTTCTCTAAGGAAATATACTAAATATAGAAAAACTTCATAAACTCGGCAGTGTGAACAGTTATACATCTAAGATAGACAGATGAGGCACTAGGGCAGATACATATGCAATTGTTTTGAAGACTTTGAAAATTTTTCTTAAAATTTTGTTAATACTAATTGTAGTTTATTTATATACTAACCTATTAATAGAATGACAAAATGTTTGGTTTTTTGGGGGGTCTGGTCGTGAGGCCTGAACTCTGGGTCTGGGCGCTGTCCCTCAGCTCTTCAGCTCAAGGCTAGCGCTCTACCACTTGAGCCATAGCGCCACTTCCAGCTTTTTTCTTTTTGCTTATGTGGTGCTGAGGAATTGAACCCAGGGCCTCATGAATGCAAGGCAAGCGCTCTACCACTGAGCTACCTTCCCAGCCCTGATAAAATGTTTTGAGCCAGATGCTAGTGGCTCACACCTATAATCCTACTCAGGAGGCTGAGATCTGAGGTTCACGGTTCAAAGCCAGCCCGGGCAGGAAAGTCTGTGAAACTCTGATGCTGTAGCTCAAGTGGTAGAGCGCTAGCCTTGAGATGAAGAGCTGAGTGACAGCGCCCAGGTCCAGAGTTCAAGCCCCACAACAGACAAAAAAAAAAAAAAATCAATTTTGGAAAAACAAAGTCCATTTGGTTATATATTCTTAAATGATTACAAACTCTGAAATTGGTAGTACTGGATAATAACATTTTACAATAGAATATTAACATTACTACAAGTGATAGTCATTAAGTAAAAACTGAAGGTTATAGAATCCCTTTGTATTTTATGCACAGACTCACCATTCTCTTCTGTGTAATACCTTGAAAAGCAAACCCATCAGGTCACCCTCTTGCCTTTCTTCAACTACTTTCTTTAGAACATACAATTTTTAAACAAATAGGATGTTTGAAGCCCTTGGAATACTACAGAAAACATTCTTCAATCTACACTTTGCCTCCTATATGATTATTTCTTGCGGCTCTGCTACAGCCTGACAGCCTACCTGACAGCCTATCTGACAGAAAGGCCTGACATAGGTGGTCCACAAAATGCTATCTGGCACATCCACAATGCTTTTGTCAATGTTACAGCCCCTCACACAATGTCTTATACTTCCTTCTGTTATCCTGGCAAATTTACAACCATCAAATCCCTCAAGCATGAATTCAATCATTTACTTATCTACCTCATTGTTATTAAGCATTTGTTATATGCATGAAACATGGTTGAAGACGCTAGAGATAAAATGGTTAAAAAACAGTTGGTACTAGTTCTACCTTGGTCCCTGAGAGCCACGGCCATTCCACCATTCCCACATATGCCTCCACCATAACTCTGTATCATCTATTTTACAAGTCCATCATTTCTAATTATTTGATTATTTCACGGTTATGTCTTCAAATGTTTACCTGAGTTAAAAAATATAACAATTTTTAAATTTTTTTTTGCCTAGTTAGTAGCTGACTTTATCATTAATGTATGCTGATTAAATACATATTAAGCAGATCACAAGGATACCAACCGGTGTTGAAGTTTCCATTGTGGGAACAGGCAATGGCAGACTTGAAAGGACAGCAAATGTAGGAGCAGCAGGCTTGGCTGTTGTATAACTTGTTGTTGAAGAAGAAACAGTGTCAGCAACAGACAAAGAAGTGATGTTCCTGTTAGCTTCTTGAGGAGGATATGCAGGAAGAAACGGAAAACCCTGAGAAGCATAAGGAGGCAGCCCACCTGGGTTACTATACAAGCTAAAGAGAAAAGAAAAGAAACATTAACTCAGATGTCAGGGGAAAAAACATGAATTTTTCTTTAAAAATTTCTTCAATAAAAATCTAGTTTTGCAGGTGATACCTATCATAATTATATGACAAAATGTTATGTAAATGGATAAGATATAAACTCCTAGAAAGAGAACTATAATTTCTATGAGAAAGGAAAAATTTGCTAAGAAGCATACAATTCAAAAGGTCAGAGCAAGCAAGTAAGCTGAGTTTCTGAGTTCCTGTATTCAGTTTTAGTTTCTTCATAGAATGAAAAACATGTAATCCAGAAAACATATGCAGATGGATGCTGATAAGTAGTAACTTTGATTGTGTTTGACAAAATCTAACTGAATGACAATTTTCTAGAATGCTTTAAAGGAAAATTAAACTTTTCTGCCTGAGCAGGCCTCAAACTAGATCCTCTAGATCTCAGCCTCCTGAGTAGCTAGGATTATAGGTATGAGCCATCAGCACCTAACTAATTTCTCTAGTCTATGAAGATTTCCTATAAACTGATGGTGGGCTAACAATGCAATAGCAAAGTAGAAATAGAAGAATACATAGATAGATGTTACAGAATAAAAACATCTTTTAAGAATAGTAAAAGAGGCCTAGGAAGGTGGCTCAGTGGTAGAGTGCTTGCCTTATATGCATGAGGCCCTGGGTTTGATTCCTCAGCACCACATAAGAAGAAAAAGCCAGAAGTGGCTCTGTGGCTTAAGTGGTAGAGTGCTAGCCTTGAGCTGAAGAGCTGAGGAACAACGCCTAGCCCCAGAGTTCAGGCCCCATGACCAACAACAAAAAAAAGTAAAAGATGTCCAATTTCACTATTTGATAAACACACTAAAAGTATATTAATCACTTTTTGCCTATCAATGGGAAAAGATCCCTTTTCAACACAATCCTCTACTGGAAAGGATTGCATAGGAGTAGAGACTAGTACAACTGTTATGGAGTGAAATTTTGCAGTATTTGTCAATATAACACATGTGCAGTCAATGTTAGCATTTTTTAAATTTAAAAATTTTAAAGTTAAACATTTTAAAATTTAATATAGTACAGGGAGCTCTGAAGAGAGGTGAGACATATAAGAAATATCAGAATAAACAAATGTAACTGTCAGAAGGAAATCTTGCTAATACATTATAGTATTCCTATAAAATGAAAACTTTTGTGGCCATAAAAAATAATGAGGAATTAGCCGGGTGCTGGTGGCTCACACCTGTAATCTTAGCTACTCAGGAGACTGAGATCTGAGGATCACAGTTCAAAGCCAGGCGGGGAAGGAAAGTCCGTGAGACTTGTATCTCCAATAAACCACTAAAACCAGAAGTGGCACTGTGGCTCAAGCAGTAGAGCTGAAGAGCTGAGAGATAGCGCCAAAGCCCAGAGTTCAAGCCCCATGACCGACAAAAAAAAGAGGTATTATATCTACTAACATAGAAATGCTCCAAACCACACTACTTAGTGATAACAAAGCAATGGAACAGTATGTTACTGCCTGTGTGTTAAGAAGAATAAAATACTACAAATACTCCTTACACATACATAAAATACCTCAACAAATACATATACATCTCTAAACAACTTGGGGGAGAAAAATGAAGTTGCAAAGGAAAAAATATGGGGCAGAGAGACTTTTAGATTGAATCCCTAGACTTCTTCAAGCCATACCAACTAATTAAAAAAAAAGTAAAATAAAAATTGGTCCCTAGTCCAATTACAGACTCAGAAAAATGTTATCATTATTTTAACTAGAAGTTCAATGGTAATAAGTTATGCATCCTAAATAGTTAGAAATTACTTTTACTCAGAAAACTACCAAAAACAGTAAGCCAAGAAACTAGGAGATAGTTGTAGAGATAAACTTGAAATAGAGATAAGAAAGTAAAGGAAAATGTAAAGAAAACAACAAGAGGAGGACTCTAGATGCTCAGAATAGAGAACCAAAAGTAAAGCACTGTCTGCAAGAGGCAAAACCAACAACAACAACAACAACAAAAACCAAAAAACACAACAAAGAATGATCAAACCCAGTGATTACCTGACTGGTAATGTTAAAAACAAAATGGGTGATGAAATATTTTTATTTTTGTGGAAGTTTAAGTTCTTAAAGTTTAGGAAGATATGGAAAATTAAAAACAGCTAAGAAAATAATGGCAATGGAACATTTGAAATCAAAAAGTAAAAATGTTAAGTCTTTGCTCCGTGACAGATAACAATTAGAGAGTGCAATAATGATAACACTAACTATACAATGGAAGAAAGGGGTAACATTGTCCAATCACCTGAATTGTGAAATGGTAACCCCTCTGTACAAAACCTTAATAACAATAAAATTATATTGAAATAATAACTTTAATCATAGACTTATGGCAAAAATCAAGATAATTACACTAGAGGACAAAGAGGACGAAGAAGAAGTTTTATACAAGAAAGTTAAAACCAGATCTAGTATGAGGTCAGTAGATAATATCTATATGAAAGACTCAAGAGATAGTACCATGTATATATCATTTAGAAAGATGAAAGTAATTATTAGAAATAGCTGAAGTTGGAAAACATTATTGCTCCTGAAAATGTGGATATATTTCTGAGGAGGTGAGAATGTGGAAATTGGATTTTCTTTGAACATTAATTCTAAGTATATTGACTTACTTGATAAATGAAAACACATGCACATGTTGTTAGTTATTAAGATACTATGAAAAAAAAACTTACTATGGAAATGCTGTTGAAGCGGGAGCTAAAACAGGAGGATTCTTCCAAAACTCATCCAACAGACTCTGGATAATTTTTCCAAGATCTGAGTGCATTGTAAACTGAAAGTAACAGTAATACATAATGATTAAAATCACTTTCAAAAAGTGATTATAAAAGTCTCATTGGAATAATGTCATTCTCATTCTTAACCCACTGTTGCAGGTCAAGAATAAACAGAAAAGCAAATAGTATTGTGTCAACTCAAGGTAACAGCAATCCACAACATACATCATTTGCTTATAGAATCAATACTATAGGTATTTGATAATTAGCAAATCAGTGAAATGTCCATTCAATCAATAATGGAGATAAAACACTTTACTGTTTATAGTAACAAGAAGGTTTAAAGGCAAATACAGAGAGTATATTAATGTACAGTCCTTTACATTAATCAGCTATAACATATCCAAGGACTTCAATTTAGTCTTAAGTAATAATAGTCTTAGCTACTAAAAACAATAAAAAATATTCTGGATAGTTATTGATTCTGAAAGAATTTAAAAACATAAAAGTATTTAGTAAAGAATAGATTTGTCATATTACTCTGAAATAAGTCATACATACATTGCTTACTAATGGAGAAGTAACATATATCCCTTGTTTATCCATTAAATGATGTCGGATTGGTGGATAAACACTGATCACTGGTTTTTCCTGAGGAAACTGTGGAGGAAGTAGTCTGGCAAAGATACACAGATATAAAATAAAACCAGTTTGTTATGTTATACAGACACAATCTAAAACAAAGCTAGCTAAAAGTAAACAAATTTTCACACTTCATATGGATTCTTTAGTAATACTGATCTGCAATGGTTAAACTGCCTGAAAATATACAAAAGATTTCATGTTAGCAATGAGATTATACAGCAATTCAACATAGTGTAATTTATGTGGAATACAGATTCTGTAAATTATAGAATCGTCTATGTACTACGTCAACTACATGCTTTTATATTCAATTTGCCAAGCTGAACAAACTCTAAGCTAAAATTTAGATCATGTTTCTATCAAGTGAATCATACAAATCCAGTTTGATGATTTTATTGTATTATAGGTTATGTCCCAATAGTTTCCTTACAAATTTTACAATAAGAAATTAGGAAATTATTTTTGCAAAGCTGGCAAGGATGATTTTAATATATATTCTACTTCAAAATGGAAGAAAATAGGATTGAAATATTGTAGTAATCATTATGACTTGGTTCTGACTCCAAATAGTAAATTCTTGAACTCTTTTAGAACCTTGACATATAATCTTAAAAAATAGGACATCAACTCTTGTTTCCAATCCTGCAGAACTCAGAATATCTCCCTGCTCCTCTGCTGGCTCAGAAAACTACTGTTGCCATCACTATGAAGAAGAAAACTGGGTCTTCCACTTAGCTCTTTCAGGGCATTAAGGGAGAAATGAAAATAGTTCAGTGACACAGCTAAAGATTTTCAAACTAGTTTGGCCTCTGAGCTAGCCACTTTGGGTTTGTATCCTAAACATTTTCTGTAATTTATTCTCATTTACAGGTCTGCTAATGGAGCTTCATAAAGCTTATAACATTGCTTTGTGCTTAAATTCATTCGTGAAACTAGTATTTAATAAGGACTCCTATGGTCAGGCACTATGCTAGACAATGAGGTTATAAAAGAAGAATAAGGCAATTAATTAATTAATTAATTTTTTGGTCGGTCATGGGGGCTGAACTCTGGGCCTGGACGCTGCCTCTCAGCTCTTCAGCTCAAGACTAATACCCTACCACTTGAGCCACAGTGCCACTTCTGGCTTTTTCTGCTTATGTGGTGCTGAGGAATCGAACCCAGGGCCTCATACATGTAAGGCAAGCACTCTACTACTGAGCCAACTTCAGTGATGTTAAGTTTTTCATTTTCACTAAATTAAACTAATTTGTAAATTATAGTTACTCAAAATAAATGTTAAGCTGTTTACATCTAACATTAAGTAAGACAGAATGCAAAACATCTCGAATCTTTAAGACAAAAAATAAGATACAATTCTACTCACATATTAATGTTAATTGTCAAGTTGTTTACAGTGAAGGGCAATCTGTATTCCACATCTTTCTGTATTTCAGCTATACTGTACAAGAAAATGTAGAAAAAAATTACCAAAAAGGATGAAACCACCACTATTAAAAATTAATGTTTTTTCCTTCAATTTAAAAAAATTAATGTTAAGTAAATGTTTAGACTATAACTACTTCTAAATTTTTGTACAGAATCTGCATAGACCCCATAACTTGCATCCAGAGAAAAATCATGACAGAATTATCAAATCAGCAGACAATAATACTTTGAAATATCCATGGGGTAAGGCTAAGATGGTAAGGAAAACAGGCAAGAAAAACTTAAATTAGTACCAGATTATATCTGTTTATCTAATTTATTATCAGTAGAGGAATTGTTAGTTCTCTTATTAATATCTGTCAACAAGGCATCTGTGTCCATGATACTCTGCTACTATCCAGTTACAGAGACAGCTACTATCTAAGTCTTAACAGTCCTATGATAGAAGCTGCTGACTACATTCAAAAATCAAGTATTCCCCCTTCTTCCTAAGAGAAACCTGATTTTATTCTGGTTCTAGTCTTTTTTTTTTTTTGTAACTACTTCTTTCAAAAGACTGAAGTCTTAATAGCCAATAAAGTTTATAGGGAAGTTTGTGGGTGGATTTGCAGAGAAGTACTTTACAGAACAGAAAACTGGTCTGAGCTCATTTTGCCTTCTTTGCCTTCTTTTGGCTTCCTGCTTAGACCTGATGGCTGGAGTTCTAAAAGCCATTCTGGACTATGGGTGACCATGGGGATATGACATGCACTAAGTAGGCTAAGCAGGATGAAAGTCACTTGAGTGCTTGACGAAATAGCCAGAATGGTAATTTCCTTCATGTGAAACCCAAACAAGTTTTTATCTTGATTAAGAGACCATTTGAGGGGTTTTTGTTACTGGCAGCAGAGTAAAAAGCCTCTTAAACCTTTCAAGTCAGGTATCTGGGTTTGAATTCTGCATCTACCAGTTACTTGCTGTGGAATTATGAACGAATTATTAAATCTAAGCCTTCTCTCTCAGATGGGATAGAGGGTTGTTAAAAACGTCTACCTAAAACTGTTAAGGCATAGTACCAGGCAAGTATCACTCAATAGCTTAACTATTAAAAAAAATTTTTTTAGAACATGGGCCCTGTCTAGATTTGTGGTATTGACATTTAAACTCATCAGTTTTTCAAACGCTGTTTGGACTTTTAAAAGAATTTTCATAAAAACTATCAGAATAGATTTGATCAAAATAACTTTTTATTTAAAAATTTCAATTAAGAACTATCTATATCCAGTTCATTTTCCTGCTATTATGTTTTAAACACTTATTACAATTTTTACACATTTTCTTTATAATGGAGATATTGAAGATAACAAAAGGTGACATTTAGTGAAAAGTGAATTCCATTAGCAAATTTCAAAACCAGTAAAACAGCACCCTAGTAATACATTTTTACTAGTGGTGTTAGGCAAATTGGCAGGCAGGAATTTGCTTTAACTTTTTTTGTCAGTCATGGGACCTGAATTCTGGGCCTGGGCACTATCCCTCAGCTCTTCTGTTCAAGGCTAGTGCTCTACCACTTGAGCCATGGCACCACTTCTAACTTTCTGCTTATGTGGTGCCTCATGTATGCAAAGACAAGCACTCTACCACTGAGCCACCTTCCCATCACCCCCCCCCCTTGAACTTAATTAAAACAAGAATCACTTTCTAAATATTCATTACAAATGTGACTCTTATTTAAAAGCATATTCAATGGGTAGATAGAAAAAGAGTGAAAGGAATATTTGGCAGAAGGAAGTCCTTAAGATGCCTGGATTCTGGGCAAACCTCAACCACCTGAAGCCATTGTCTAAGGATTTGGAATTTAAGTCTTAGAGGACTTAAGAATTGTCCTTTTGAGTACTTACCTCCCATTTCTTTTATGAGGAGCAGGTAATGATTTAGCTTTCTACTTCTCCCTACTTTAACACAGTTAAAACGAAAAGAATGCTGCAATGAACATTGTATATAGCCAACCCAGATGCCCCTCAGTAGATGAATGGATCAAGAAAATGTGGTGTGTTGGGGCTGGGAAGGTGGCTCAGTGGTAGAGCCCTTGCCTTGCATGCCTGAGGCCCTGGGTTCGATTCCCCAGCACCACATAAGCAAAAAGAAAAAAAGCCCGAAGTGGCGCTGTGGCTCAAGCGGTAAAGCGCTAGCCTTGAGCTAAAGAGCTGAGGGACAGTGCCCAGGCCCAGAGTTCAGGCCCCACGACCGGACCCCAAAAAAAAAAACAAAAAAACCCAAAAACTTGGGAGGGGGTAAAGGGGGCAGAAAGTGGGAGAAAAATGAGGGAAGGGTAACAATGCTTGAAAAGAGTACTCATTAACTTACGTATGTAACTGTAACCTCTCTGTACATCACCTTCACAATAAAATTCAATTAAAAAAAAAAAAACCACAAAAACTAAAAGAAATCCTTGCTAATGCTTAAGTATCCAAAAATTAAATTAAGTTACTAAAAAAGGGCAAAGATTATATAAATATTTAAAGACTTCATGTCCATAAAACAACCACTTTTATAGTTTTCTATTTTTCTACATTCACATCATGCTTGTAACACAATACAATCGTATAATTGGCTCTATTCCTTAATAATTTATCACTCTTAATTTAAATATTGATATTCGGATTGATCATTTCAATGACTGAAAGTATTTTAGTATGATACTATTATTTAATGTGTTCTCTGTGTTGATTTTTTCCAAATTTTGCCATAATAAAATCATGCTATGTGTGATAAATTAACTATATCTTTATGTTAATGGTAATACTTTAAAATGGTAAAAATGTATATAAATAGGTAGACAGAATGACAGGACATACAAAAAGAAAGCCTGAAAGTTATGTTTTGGGTGGGCCTCACCATTTTAATCATCCATAAACAAGGTCTAATCCACATATAAGAACTACCATTTTGAATCTTTTTAATTCCCTTTTCCTGCATGGGGAGCAGGAAATATTTCTATTTCTCCCAATTTTAACTAAATCCTTTACTAAGTCCTTGCTAAACTTTTCACACTGTGATTTTCTCTCTCGCCTTTTCTCCTTTCTCTCCCCACAGTGCTCTCCCCCTTCTCCCCCAGTCTCGGAACCTCAAATCAAAGCCTGGGTGCTGTCCCTGAGCTTCTGTACTCAAGGCTAGCGCTTACCACTTGATCCACTGCTCCTTCATCTCCTTCTCCAACCCCTTCTCCCCCAGTCTCGGAACCTCAAATCAAAGCTTGGGTGCTGTCCCTGAGCTTCTGTACTCAAGGCTAGTGCTTACCACTTGATCCACTGCTCCACTTCAGCTTTTTGGTGGTAAATTGGAGACAAGAGTCTCAGGGACTTTCCCTACCTGGGGTGGCTTGGAACCATTATCTTCAGATCTCAACCTCCAGAGTAGCTAAGATTACTGGCTTGCACCACTGCTGTCCTGCTGATTTTTTTTTTTCTCCATAAACGCCATCTCAAGGACCTGAGATTTTGCATGGAACAGGGAAGTTGAGGAAACCCCTCATCTATCCTGTGGTGATAATTTTAACTCAGTGCCTCTGATTTTTTTCAGGGACAAATTAAACTAAACTACAAGACACTGTGAGTGGTCCATGCCTGCAATCCCAGCTACTCCAGAATCTTGAGATCTTAGTATCCTAGTTTGAAGCCAGCACGGGCAGGCAAATCAAAGATACTCTTATCTCAAACAGGCCAGTAAAATTCTGTGTGGCTCATGGGTGGAGGACCAACTCTTTTTAAAAAAACAAAACAAACTAGAAAACTGGAAGTGGCGCTGTAGCTGAAGTGGTTGAGTGCTCCCCTTGAGCTGAAGAGCTGAATGACAGCGCTCAGGCCCAGAGTTCAAGCCCCACAACCAAAACATAAGTAAATAAATAAATTTACTTTATTGTTACTAAAAAGGGATGTACAGAATAGTTCTAATTACATGAGTCAGGCAAAGAGTACATTTCCTTTCATATAGTGTCTTTTGTTTCCTCACTCCCCAGAGGATCAGCTTTGAGTGAAAAAGCTAAGCAGAGCACTAGGCCTTAAGTTCAAGCCCCAGTACCTGCAAACAGATCAGATCAATCAAATCAGTCAATAAATAAATGGATAACTTCATTAATCAGGTTACATTAACTAACCAGTATTCTTATATTTTTTGGCAGTCCATAAAACATGATTTAAGATTTCTTTAGGGAATAAACAATTACTGCTGGTTTTTATTTTGTGTAAAATGGAATTTCTCAAGACAAAAATTCAACTGAATAGTTACCATATATCTAGCAGGAAATAAGACATACAGGGTGCATATATTTCTAGTGAGTCTATGGTGATCTTTGCTCTAAAGGAGTACTCAGCTTAATGTGAAAGCCGACTGACATTTTATTATATTATAATGACGATTAAGTAGTTGCACAAAGGGGTTACAATTCCATAAGTCAGATTTTGAATACAATGCTTCTTGGTCAATGTTATCCCTCCTTCCCAACCATCCAAGGCCCCTTCTCTTGAAACCACCTCTGGGAGACAAAAGCTATCTGTTAAACCACACCTGGGGACCTTTCTGTAACCAGGCCAGGTGAGAAATTACTGGCCCTGGGCTAACTTCCTCCTTGCTTAACCAGACCCCCTTACAACACGTCTACAGAATCTTACTCACAAACCAATGCTGCTGTTGAACTTGCCTTTATAGTCAGCCTGGCAGTTTATTCCTGAATAAAGCTTGCTTTGGCCTGAACCTAGTTCTGCTCTCCTTTCAGCAGATCTTACACCTTCCTTCTCCCCCATTTTCTCCTCCTGTCTCTACCCTCTGGCTATATAGTTCATTTTAAAAAATATAATGCACATTGAATATAATGACTTCATTTGCTTACCATTCTTCCCTCCATTCCTGTGAACCTCCCCCTTTACCCAATCCCCAAGCAAGTTTCCACTTCCTAGTATTTGTTTTGATAAACTGTACTAAACTTGCTCAGAGGGATTATTCCTTGGCTTTCCTCCCCAAAGTGTATGCTCCTTT